CTCTCCATTTAGACATACATAATTGTTTAGCTTGTTCACCCCAGATGATTATGTTTTGAGCAGCCAATCTGTTGAAAGGGAGTTTCGCTAGGGGTGTGGTGGCCTGCTTCCAGTATACCTATGGACATCCTGGGAAAATAGACATTCCTCTGTGGATCGGGATTCTGTTGTGCTGCCTGCTACTGTCTGCCAGTGAACAATTCACCATTCAGCCTGGAGATCTTGGATTTGTCATTCGTGGGAAACAACAGCCGGTGTACTGCCTGCCAACCTTGAGCTCCTCAGCCCCTGAAGCTGCAAGAGTCGGGAAAAGCCTCCAGCTTGATGTTTGATCCAAGAACTTTGGACTTGCCAGCTTCTGTAACTGTGAGCCATTTTCCTAAGATAAATTTCTCTCTCTCTCTATAAGCTCTACTGGTTTTGCTTCTCTACAGAACCCAGTCTAACACACATACTTTATACATTCCACGTTCCTCTGATTAATGGATGTTTGCTGGTGTTTTTTTCTCAATTTGAGTCATGCCACATCAGTAAATGAAGGTCCCAAAAGCTTTTCTCCAACTATGCATTAACATAGACTCTATTTTGAAGAGGCAGCTCTTCCCTAGTTGTATTTTGAGTGCTTTCCAACTCAGGAGCTCATTTTCTGGCACTATATCAGACAATGTTCTTCTGCTATACCTAAGTTTTCAATGGCCAATATTTTTCAGAAGTAGATTGCCAGATCTTTCTTTCCAGTGTGTCATAGTCTGGAAGCTCAGCTGGAACCTGTCCACCATGGGTGACAGCTTATAATGATATTGTTGAACAGTCATTAATATCAAATGCAAATAAAATGCTACAGATAATTTAAAAATAGTTGCCATCAGTACATTGACAAGGAATTACCAGAAATTCAAGCCAGATTCAGAAGAGGACATGGAAACAGGTATATCATTGCTAATATCAGATGGATCTTGGCTGAATGCAGAAACTACAGAAAGATGTTTACTTGTGTTTTATTGACTATGCGAAGACATTCGACTGGATCATAACAAATAATGGATAACACCATGATGAATGGGAATCCTGGAACATGTAGTTGTTCGCTTATGGAACCTGTACATAGACCAATAGGCAATTGTTCAAACAGAACAAAGGGATACTGCATGGTTTAAAATCAGTAAGGGTATGCATCAGGGTTGTATCCTTTCACCACACTTACTCAATCTAGGCAAATCTGCTACAAGACCTCTTTATAGTTTTGTTAAAGAGCAAAGGCTTAAGGTGCACCTGACCCAAGCCATGGTATTTTCAAGTCTTATATGCATGTGAAAGCTGGACAATGAATAAAGAAGAAGAAAGAAGTATCGACACATTTGAATTGTGTGTTAGAGAAGAATACTCAAAATACCAGGGACTGCCAGAACAAATGAATGTCTTGGAAGGAGTGCAGCCAGAATGCTCCTTAGAAGCGAGAATGGCCAGACTTCGTCTCATGTACCTTGGTCATGTTGTCAGAAGAGACCCTGGAGAAGGGTATCATGTTTGGTAAAGTAGAGGGTCAGTGAAAGAGGGGAAGACTCTTAACGAGATGGTTTGACACAGTGGCTGCGACAACGGGCTCAAGCATAGCAAGGATTTGAGGATGGTGCAGGTCTGGGCAGTGTTCCATTCTGTTGTACCTAAGGTCACTGTGGGTTGAACCCTACTTGATGACACCTAACAAAAACAACATTCAATCTGTATGTATAATCTGAGAAGCTGGACTATATGAAGAATGCATCATCAGACTGGAGGAAGACTCATTAATAACCTGCGATATGATGACACAACCTTGTTTGCGGAAAGTGAAGAGGACTTGAAGCACTTATTGATGAAGATCAATTATTGCAGTCTTCAGTATGGACTACACCTTAACATCAAGAAACAAAAATCCTTAGAGCTGGACCAATAAGCAATATCATGAAAAATGGAGAAAAGACTGAAGTTGCAAAGGATTTTATTTTACTTGAATCCACAATCAATGCCCATGGAAGCAACAGTCAAAAAATTAAATGACATATTGCATTGGGCAAATCTGCTGCAAAAGACCTCTTTAAAGTGTTAAACAGAGATGTCACCTTGAGGAGTGAGGTGAGTCTGACCCAAGCCGTATTTTCAACTGCCTCATGTGCATGCAAAAGCTGGACAATGAATAAGAAGACCAAAGAAGACCTGATACATTGAATTATGATGCTGGTGAACACTACTCAATATACCATGGACTAACAGAAGAACAAACAAATCTGTCTTGGAAGAAGTATAACCAGAATGCTCCTTAGAAGTGAGGATGGCAAGACTTCCTCTCATGTACTTTGGACATGTTATTAGGAGGGACCAGTCCCTGGAGAAGGACATCAGACTTAGCCAAGTAGAAAACAAAAAACAAACAAAAAGACCCAAAAATCCAAATTCACTGCCCTCAAGTCAGTCCCAACTCATAGCAACCCCTCCTTGGGTTTCCGAGGCAATAGCTCTATGGAAGTAGATTGTCCAATCTCCCCTCTAAGGAGTGGCTGGTGGGTTTGAACCGCCAGCCTTCTAGTTAGCAGTCAAATGCCTTAGGCACTGTGCCAAAAGTAGAGGGTCAGTGAAAAAAAGGAAGACATTCAATAAGATGGATTGACACAGTGGCTGTAACAATGGGCTTAAACACAGCAATGATTGTGAGGATGGTGCATGACTGGGCAGTATTTTGTTCTGTTGTAGGTAGGATCACAGTCAGAACTGACTAGACTGCACCTAACAACAGTGACCTGTAGGTGGTGCAGTTTGTACTCGACTAACTTAAAGGTTGATGGATTGAACTCATCCACCAGCCACTCCTGGGAAGGCAGATTGGGCAATCTACTTCTGTAGTGATATAGCTTTGGAAACCCAAGGAGGGGTCACTA